TATATATATCTTATCTATATCTAATGTTATTTAGGACTATCTATGTAATTATATCTAGTGTTATTTAACTATGTAACTATCTATTTCTCTCTAACTTACTATCTATTGATCTGTCTCTCTATCTCCAGTGATTCTCCACTAAATACACAATCTGCTACAACACTACTAACTCTCAAAGCAACTAACGCAACAACAGCAACAAACCAACCTGCTCTGCAAAGACATTTCAAATGAACGGCACTAAATAGGGATAGCCTATCTCTGAACACACTCGATCAAGCAAAGTGATTCACATGACAAGTTGACAACACTGGATATTTGGACCTCAGATGTGAGCAGCATTGAAGGTGATCCCCTCTTATTCATTTGCCACTTTACTTGACCATCTAGTGGTTGCACTTATCCATTATTACTCATATTTAATATTTTGCTTATTAATGTTGATTGTTTTATTGCAATGAAAGCGCTCTTGTAACGGAATCAGCAGTTATGTTTTAGAATCAGATCGGAACTGAAAAAATGTGGAATCGGCCCATCACTAATCTAAATGTGCTGACAAATGAATAAAATCAAAGTGGTCCCTGCTTTGATTAGATATATACACACTCAGAGCCTAGATTGATGTCTGTAACCACAAGGTTTCTTTGTTGCATACATTTTTACCTAAAATAGCTTGTATTTGTTAAAAGGCAGCTAATCTTAGAGAGCCACTAGATAAAGATAATAAGATACTAAATTACAAACTCCTAATCATAATTTCTGACAAAGCATTTTGGAAATTAACTCTGTGTACCATGGTCCTGTGGGCAAACTTGGTCTCCTTGATAATCCAGATGTGCCTGTTGCCATCTGTTAGGTTGAAACTTATATCACACCACAAATCTGGTTCACCCTGTGGGCCCAATGCTTCCAGCGCTGTATGACTTCCATATACCCACTTGATGTGAGAGTTTCCAGCACACAAAGCCATTTGCTCAGAGCTGCTGTCAGAGCACGGTCCATTTTCACACTGCTCTATCCAGCTCTAGCTTGCAGGTCTTAATGTAGGGTTTGTTTACAGGCTGTCTGAGAGGATAGCTTAATAACAAGGCATAATAGTGGTGTTGAGTGTATCAGGTCTGACTTGTTTTCTCCATATGTTTCAACTTTTTCTAAGATTGGCAATCACCAAACCTATTGGTTTTCCAACTGAATAGTTTTTAGTGAAAATGCACAAAACTCAGTGATCTCACAAGTGGACATCACATTCCACTTAAAACCATTTCAAACTAAAAAATTTCAATGTTTAGCTTGTTAAGAGCATGTGCCTGGAGGAAATCTGAGAGCATCTCACCTTACACATACACAATTCCCAAATCTGACCAACACTGATCAAATGTACTACAGTGACCAAAGACCATCAATGTCAACTGCTAATTAATAATTCACTCAAGTCACAAGAATAAAGCTGACAGCATCCTTAGAGATCCACTTCTGCAGTAATCAAGACTACACAAGATGCAGAAAGATAAGGTGTATTTAGGGCACTACCACAGCCAAACAGTTTCTAGATCCCTGTTCACCAAGAAGAAGGCATGTCAAGTCAGTCTGACTTCTGAATTAAACCACAGGAGAAGGAACTCCCTACACTGAAGTATCAGCAGGTGCTTTCAAGACTAAATCAAGCTTGATTAAACTGGGTAACACAGTGGTCAGGGATCATGGATTACTTATCACTGTTATGTCTGAGTCCACCCACCTTAAACATGCACCACCTCAGTCAGACTACACATGCCGAGGCTTATATTTTAAGCAATGAACTGTTAATTCCAACCTCAGGTCAAGCAATATCATTTGAACTACTTACATTAGCAGATGCAGTTAAGTACAGCAGGCTGTCAACTAAGCACACACACCAGCAACACTAACATTTCTTCAGAATCAACTTGTTGTATATCCGTCATATAAAAACTGATAACACTTGCTGAGTAACTAACTACCATACAAACACCATTTGCTAGCATGGTGCTGCGATTAAGGTACTATGTATCTCAAAAATGAATGTCACTGAAATGCTATTTTCTTGCGCATCATCTTTCACAAACGGGAATAAATACTCAAATCTCAACAAAACTTATGGCAACAGTTGGATACTTATATCCAGCTACTAGGTCCGTGCATGTCAGCCTAAATAAAATGGGTAAACCTGTTATTTAAAAGTGTTGACTCCTTATTGCGCTCACTACATTGTTATTAGCATCGTAGACCATTACTTAAAGCGCTAACTGTCAGAGCTGATTCAGCTTTGGGGCCGCTAGCCTGTTAGCATCGTTACACAATGCCTACTTTCCCAGTGATAATCAATTGCGGCGAGGTGCTTTGTGGTGGTCCAGTGAAGCCATACTAGCTTTGGTGAAAATTGTTGTTTCACTCACCTTTTTCATCCGCGGAGCCTCGGCAACGGTACCGTCACGATTGACAAAAGCCTCTCCACCGTTCTGCTGCGGGTCCGACCGCTTCATAGCCGACGCCTGAGGCATCTTCACGGGGTTCGGAGTGAGCAAGCCCAGGCTGCCTTCCCCGACTTTAACGAAGGGCTCCGCTGTGGGGGACGCAGCGGCTGAGGAACCGGCCTCGTGCGGGTCGATCCTGCCGAGGTTCTTGCCCTCTGAGGTCGTTGTCACCGGGAATTCAGCCGGTAAGTCCTTACCGGTGGGGACGTCTTTGAGTTCGACCTCTGCCATTTTCGCTGCCACAACCTGGACTGACATCGCTGCAGTTTCACAAAGTCCTTTTTCCAACACACAGAGCAAGTCAAGCGGATGTGAGCGGCAAAGGCAAATTGCATTGTGGTCTTTGTAGTTCCACAAATAATCTAAACTATGACCCCCACGGGCCACTTCTAATAATATTATTCATGAGTACACCACTTATATTTCACAATATGTCAGTCGACATGGAGACCATAAAACTATTAACACTGCACTGTATTTATTAGAAAATGGACCCAGGTGATAGCGTGACTATACGTTTCCTACACTGAAAAATCTACACTGCAAAGTGTATTATGGGAAATGATGTTGGGCTCGTTGTTACGGGCTGTCCGTTCCCTGTATGACCAGAGTAGGAGCTTGGTTCGCATTGCCGGCACTAAGTCAGACCTGCTCCCGGTGCATGTTGGACTCCGCCAAGGCTGCCCTTTGTCACCGATTCTGTTCATTATTTTTATGGACAGAATTTCTAGGCGCAGCCAGGGAACGGAGGGTGTCTGTTTTGGTGGCCGCAGAATCTCATCCTTGCTTTTTGTGGATGATGTGGTTCTGTTGGCTTCATCAGTTCAAGACCTACAGCGTGCACTGGAGGGGGGTCTGCAGCCGAATGTGACGCGGCGGGGATGAGAAGTCCGAGGCCATGGTTCTCAATCGGAAAAAGGTGGGTTGCCCTCTCTGGGTTGGGGGTGAGTTGCTCCCTCAAGTGGAGGAGTTTAAGTTTCTCGGGGTCTTGTTCACGAGTGAGGTAAAAATGGAGCGACAGGTTGACAGACGGATCGGTGCGACGTTCATTCAAGACCTACAGCGTGCACTGGAGGGGGGTCTGCAGCCGAATGTGACGCGGCGGGGATGAGAAGTCCGAGGCCATGGTTCTCAATCGGAAAAAGGTGGGTTGCCCTCTCTGGGTTGGGGGTGAGTTGCTCCCTCAAGTGGAGGAGTTTAAGTTTCTCGGGGTCTTGTTCACGAGTGAGGTAAAAATGGAGCGACAGGTTGACAGACGGATCGGTGCGACGTTCATAGTAATGCGGTCTCTGTACTGGTCCATTGTGGTGAAGAAGGAGCTGAGTCGTAAGGCGAAGCTCTCAATTTACCGTGAACTTTGGATCATGAGTGAAAGAATGAGATTGCGGATACAAGCAGCAGAAATGAGTTTCCTCCGGAGAGTGGCTGGGCGCACCCTTAGTGATAAGGTGCGGAGCTCAGAGTTGAGCCGCTGCTCCTCCACGTTGAGCAGAACCAGTTGAGGTGGCTCGGGCACCTGTTTAGGATGCCCTCTGGACGCCTCCATGGGGAGGTACTCCGGGCATGTCCCTCCGGGAGAAGGCCTCGGGACAAACCCAGGACACGTTGGAGAGACTGTGTCTCCTGGCTGGCCTGGGAACACCTTGGGGTTCCTCCTGAGGAGCTAGAGGAGGTGTGTGGGGAGAGGGAAGTCTGGGAGGCTCTGCTCGGGCTACTGCCCCCGCGACCTGGTCTCGGATAAAAAGGACGAAGATGGATGTTTATAAGAGGACAAACTACAAAACAAAGGAGATTTGGATAATATCTGTTCGCAGAGCAATCACGTTTCTAATTTCTAAATAGTCTTTGTAGTCATAGTCTACAACGTTCTACCCTACCCAAGTCAGGGAGAGGACAATCTCCTTATTATATCCTTTTATCTCAATCTTGTGTGTAAAATTGTAAACTCCTGGATGCACCTAGTGTTATTAAAATTTTATGAAGGGCATGCTGCTGCATTACAGATTTCTCAGCAAAACAGTTCATCCTCAACTGATGACACTAAAATATTTTGATAAGACTTAATTGTCTTTCAGTATTGTACTCCATTCTCAAGTCATTTTCTAAATGGGACCGCACAAGACACATCATATCGCGGTGGACATGGCAGTGTGTTATGAGAAAATGGGACCGGGATAAGGTCAAATTGCAATAATTGAACTACACTGCCACCACGCGGATGCCTACGATAGTTTAAAAAGCTTAAACAAAACATAAAAACAAAATTAAAAAAAATACACATACCATAAGTTGAAAGGAAATGATCAAGCTTCAACTGTTTTTAATATCTAAATTTTATTTTTAAGCCTCGGTGGCATTTGTAAAATTACATTACTGAAAACAAGCAATTGGGGGGCAACAGTGGTGAGGTGGGTAGAGCAGTCGTTTCCCAACCGGAAAGTTGAAGGTTAGAATCTCGGTGCCTGCAGTCCACATGTCGAAGTGTCCTTGGGCAAGACACTGAGCCCCCAAGTTGCCCGTGATGGTGGCACATATGCACGCTGCAGCCCTAGGCCCTCGGCTCCAAACAGAATTTCGGCGTATGTGTCACAATGTTGCAATAAAATAAATCTTCTTCAAACGTAATGTACAAATGACTAACACAAAAGCCAGATAAACAGCATTTCTTTATTTAAAAAAAAAAGTATTCTGCAATACTCAGACTTTGGTAATTCATAGGCTCTTCATTTGTGTTCCATCACCTATCAAAATTATAAATGCTATATATAATGGCTTCTCATTGCAGCCTAGTACTGTGGGAAGCTTCCCAACTACAGAATACTTAAGTGTTTGTGTATTCATTCTGGTTTTATAAGACGTTCATTCAAATATGGGCAAAATGTTGCAAAAGCTCACTGAAGCTAAGGAAACAATGTCAAATCCATACATAGAGTATTTACATTCAAGATGAACAGGTCTGAGCCATTTGCCAGACACCAGTTTTGAGGTATAGTATTTACAGTACAAGCCTACCATGCTGATACATCCTCAAAATAGAAAATAAGCAAACTAACCAATGTTAAAAATGCAGCTGTGCGTTGTATCGTAAGCACACTGTGGTGTAAGAGAAATTTGTTCTTATAATCACAGTGACGGTACAGCATGTTGCCAATGTGTAAGTTAAAACTGAGAAAATATCTAAAAATGGGCATTTACTGTCATTTCAAAATCAAGTGATGTTTCTCCAATGTGCCCCTAAAAAAAAAAATCAGTCCTTAAGTTGGGGTGATAATCCAACCAATGAAGCCACAAATCTTTGAGGAGAAAAATAATCCACTTGTAGCTTTTTTATTGCTGTAAACTACAGTACATCAGTCTTCAAATATCCACAGGATATTCACCCCAGAGAGGCCAAGATTCACTCTCCTGAAGATAATATGAAAAACAATTTAATAATCCTACAGAAGACAAACAAGGTCAAAACTATCTGTTTCAATCAAAATGCAATCAGCACATCATATGACCTTTTTGTTGAAAATGAATCACTCTTTCATACAGTATGAAATGTCATAATTGCTTTGAGAATATACTGAGATAAGCAGCCTATTAGAGGCGTCTAGCAGAAGTACTCACCCCAGCATCCCTGCCTCCTTGGTCTTAATGACATACAGGAACATGAGGACTGTGTGGAACAGGTTGTTCCTGCCCTGTAGCAGAAATCAAAATAGCTTTGTCTGTGCAATTAGTGTTGCTGTAGAGCAAGACATCCTGAACTGTTATTAAACTGTTACTTTACTAAAGTTTAGCAAGACCACATTCAATGCACCTGCTAAAATGTAAAAACATAATAGACAAAACCATTAATTCTTTAGTTGTGTCAGAAAAAGAGCTGTTACTCAGTTTTATTTTAAATTCCAGTCTCACACCTTAAACAAATGCACTTGTCACAACACAGACTTGGGCTTACAGAAAGCCAATAACTGACTTATCTGCTAAATGTTTGTGAGTTTGTGATACAATGCTCTCCCTGTTACTTTTTTGTGCCCTGTATTTATTATCGTGCATATTAAGGCAGGTTCGAGCCTTAAGGGAAGTCAAAGATTATTTGAGCTCAGTTTCATGTAGTGTGTCAGTTCATCTGGACCTATGAATAGCAAAACTTAGAGGGTACAAAATAAAATAAAAAACTGTTCAAACAGACATCTCTGGGGATTTAATTTTTGGTCAGTAAAGGCAAAATAAGAAAACAAGTGTTTTTGTGGGTTTGAAAAATAAGAGTATTTTTGGAAAAGAAAAGAGAAGACTGATGTTTTTTACTCTCACCTTGGGCAGACTGTAGATGTGTCCCTGGTAGATGAGCTGATAGTGAGGAGGGGTAGTGCTGCTCTGGTGGATGCAGAAGAGGTTCTCCTTGGTTACATCTATGAGTTAATACAAATAAAAACACAAGAACTGAAAAATAATGAGGAAGTGGCATATGAACTAAAATAGGAAAAAAGATGCTGTCTTTTAAGAGTGAGAGGCATATAATCAAAATCACAAGACCTATACATTCTTCCTTCCTATTTGGCATGCACACACGTGCACTCACCAGGTTTGTCTGGGGTGTGGCTGAAGTGCTGTGAAGTGAAAGTTTTCCCATCTGGGTACTTTGGGTGTGGGGGCAGTCTGGAGTCCAAGTATGTACAAAACACATGCATAAGAATCTGAAGGATAGACAAAGACAGTGACGTGACTATGGGCAGATGTAGTATTTGGCTGGTGATCCAACAGTGATGATCCAGCCACCCAAAATGTTATTGTAACTTGAGTGCCATACAGAACATCCAGTCAAAATACCCAAACAAGCCCATGGCCAGCCATACCATTATGATTATACACTCTGTAAATGCACACATTTTCATGTATTTGAAAAATACAAAAGTTATGTTAACTCTGTGGTTCTCAAAGTGTGGGGCGCGCCCCACTAGTGGGGAATAAAGACACGACAGGTGGGGCGCAATGAATGGAGAAAATTAGAAATGGGTCATTAATACAAGTAAATTAAAATAACATCAGTTCGGGGCCCAGGAGAAAAAAGTGGAACCATAGTGCAACAATAACGGTTTAACATCGGCATGTTAACTGCAGCTCAACAATATAAGGAAACATTCACACAGAGGTCCAGTAGTGTACATAGTGGGCATAATAACGTAAATGGATAAATTTGTTATAAGGACCACAAAAAAAACAAAAAACAAACAAAAAAAAAACAAAAGGCAATTCAGCGCAAACAGACAAGGCAGTAGCCTTATCAACCAAAAAGCCAGCTGAAAAGAAAATATGATGAAGCCTATCTTGTGCTTGGATTTACG